CCCACTGATGATATAAAAGTCTCCTTTATCAAACGAGACACATCTGGCATTACATGGATAGTATAAATACCTCAGCTAACTTCTGCATCAGGTGGTTTAATGTGAACAACTGTGTTACCACAGGAAGCTCCGGACTTCCTGTGGTAACACAGTTGGTGCTGATCTTTGGTAAAGACTCAGCAGGAGGCAGAGTTGGCCTGTTACAGGTCAGAAGCTGAACTGATCCTTAATCATAGGAACTGTTGATCATCTGAGGTGGGACAATATCATCCACCTTATCTTTGTCACCCTGAGCTACTCGTGAGGAGGCGAGCAGGACTCCTCTGTGTGGAAGAAGCAGGCGGGGGTCAGGAAACACACGGAGTCAGATATGTTTCATGGCTGAAACATAAGATTTCTATGATCAATAAGAATATTTGTCTACTGCTCAGTGCAGTAAAACTCCTTTAACATAAACATATAGACCTGATGTAACATTAACATCAAATACTTTAATACTCAAATGATACTAGTAATAATTTCATTTGTTATTTGCTGGTTTAGAGGTTAAAAAACCTTTTAAACATAGAGACACAATTAAGTAATTAAGTGAACAAATGAGTAAGCGATAATGTCAGCAGATGATCAGTGTGTAAATGGACGATTCTTCCCCTGAAGCACTCAAAGCGCAGCAGTCACGCATTCACACGAGCGCCTTTTCTGTGCTTAAGTGCTTTTTCTCCAGCGTTCACACACAGCCACACTCCCATGGATGAAATCCTTGCCCAAGGATATTTGTGGAGCAGCCGGGGATCGAACCACCAACCTCGCGATCAGCAGATGACCTACTCTGATGGAAAAAAGCCCACCTTCACTGTAATTCTTCCTCAGTCTCCAACTGTCCACACTCGCGTCCAACCAGGTGGACTCTGAGGGCTTTTGTGCAGAAATTGAATGAGAAATGATTACTGTGATAAGTTCAGCACCAGTGGGCTGCAAAATCACTATGTGCCAGCTCCCCCACTTTCAATCACAACTCGCATTTTGGCAAGGACTCCAAAAATTGTGCTGTGAATCAGAAGAATCCAACGCAATTTTCTACACTGAGCCGTGGAGACAGGAGCGGCGCCAGAGGACCAGAGAGGCTGTGATTGTAGCCCTCAGATAATGTCCTCACAAATCACTGATTGGACTCAGGCAAGCTGCTTTAAACCACCACATTATTTTATTACTTTATTCTTCTCTTGTTTTACTTTAATGACACCTGAATCTGAGCACGCAGAGGAAATGAGTTCAGACCTGATGTAACTTAAGGTGGACTGTACCTTGGAGGCCAGCGCTTCAGCACTTTCTCGGCACGTTCGCTCGATCTCCAGGTTCTCCTGGATGGCGCTGACCTCTTCAATGACCATCTGAGAGACTAGAAAACACAGAAAAAGACAAGATGAAAGGAAAGAGGGGAAATGGCTGTTTCAGTTTCACGTTACAGAACAAATAAAAATAGTAAAATATGACAAACATCACATCCTACAACACCGATGTGAGCGAATTTCCTGACGTTACACTGTTGTTACATTCTAAGCTTGAACACTATTGGATACATTTGTTACGATGCTGTTTTAAAAGCTCATCATCAGTCTTGTATGTTAGAGTTAGTGTGTGTATTAAACAGTATGTCTGGCTGTTGCTGTCTCCAGCACCACAGACTCGGTTATGAGGACAACAGGTTATTAAAAAACACAAGTCAGTGTTTAAACCAAGCATCTGTGTTAATTTTACAAATGAGTCATTATTGACTGATGAAACATGAAAGGCTGAACTCATGTGAAGAAGAACTTTAACATCAACTCATGAACAAAAGATGGAAACAAAGACAACAATCAGGTTTTTCTAAAAGACGACGCATCCCTGCAGCTGACGAGAGCGCCGTCAACACCTCAGCAGTGAATGACCTCATCAGAACCTCATATTTATTTATGAGCTCATATTCAGATTATTTACCCCGTTTTTTATTTTCTTCATCCGTGTCTGATTGAATAGACGAGGAAAAGGATAGAGAACCAGAATATTAATAAAGGGGAGCGTTGTGCAAGTATTTCAACATGAGTCATGACGTGTGATGCTACACCTCAGCCTGGGTGGGAACATTTAATCCTTTACTAAATGGTGACAAGAAGTGATTTTTAATTGATATTACCTATGACAATGGCAAAGGAAATACACGACCAACACGTTTACCGCTCACTGCGTTCTGGGTTTAACGTCCCGACTCATGTAACGATCACACAGGCCATGTTTGGTGGAGAGAACAGCTCACACAGCAGAGAGGAGCGTGGGAAAGCTGCACACTGCTTCTATGTAACAATAGCAGTTAGGCTAACACTGCTGGAGTTTTAGTTTTCTTTTCTTTAACTGACATTTAGGAATAACTGTACAAAACCATCAGCTTCAACAATTTGTTACATGTATTTTTGCTTTTTCCTGTTTTTAAACTACTAAAATATCCATAAAAAAGGAGGGAAAGAGAAAAAAGACAGAAAAAGGCATGTAGGGAGTGAGATTTTACTACCATTAATATAACTAATATATCCTCTAATATATCTTCTAGTACTAATCTGGCCTGCGTTTTTTATACAGTCCATCCATTTCTTCCATCGTGATACAAACAGCTCCCTCTTATAGTTCACATCTGCTGTCTCCATCCTGTAAATGTCCATCCACATGTTCATAGTTGTGCTCTCAGGAGAAAGCCTTTTTTTATGGCTTTTTTACCTGCAGCCAGTAAAATATTAAACAAATATTTATTGTTCTCTGTCCATCCTTCTGACATAAGTCCAACAAATAAAGTTTTACTTTCCAAAGGTAAATAACCTCCAAATATCTCTTGTACTGCTGCATGTATTCCCTTACAATAAGTTTTAATAACATGACAGTCCCAGAGAATATGACAGTGATTTGTGTGGGTTACCTTCATAGTGACATTTTTGCTGAGGTGTAATAAAATATCTTATCAGGCTTTTCCACCCAAAGTCCCTCCAGCTCTGTGAGCTGCTGCATGTCCATATTGTTGTCCTCCTTCATCTCTACTCCTCCCTCCATTTCCCATTTTGTTTTGATAAATAGGGTCGAGTGAAATTTTGTATTTGTTAGTCCTTTATAAAGGCCAGATATACGCCTTTGTCTTTATTTGAACTGTTTGACCTTTTAAGGAGTTTTATCTGCTTTTTTGATCATGTTTGATCTGTGAGGCAAAGTCCTGAAACAATAAAAACAATCTCAGCACACTTACTTCTTTCCTTTGGGTTTCAAGTTTTCATTCATACAAATATAAATGTGCTCTGAACAACGTAAACATGTCGACAGTCACCTGGATGTGGAGTCCAGAGGGTCTGTGGGAGCTTTAGCTGGCAGAAGCTGCTGCTGGCCACAGCAGGGATGATTACAGGAAATGTGTCAAACCCCCCAAAACCAGACTTTTAAGAATAAAATAGTTTGTGTTTTTACATGAAACCTGTTTGCCGTCATGTTTGTTGTGTGTTCAAAGCTTCCAGGCAGTAAAAATAAAGTGTGGATAGTAAAGGTCAGATGATCGATGCAGAGAAAAAGTTTGACCTGTACAGCAGAGCATAAACCCAGTGACAACAGCCTGGCCCCACTAAAGACACTGAAGGTGATTTATTTCCTGTCTCAAAGGTTCGTGGAGCTGAGTGTAACTGTGAACATGCAGCCGATTCACTGCTAACATGAAACTCTGTGATTAAAGCAGTTTTATTGAAACATTGGGAACAAAATCTGATGAAACTCCAAACAGCAATCGTACCTCGGCAGGAGAAGAACACCCTAAAGACTGCCCTGCCACTTAACTAATTAAACATTACAGCTGAGTGAGGGAGAAATTAAGCATTAGTGCCACTGCCGTGGGCAATTCCTTCCCCCCGGTGACACCTAATTAAGAAGTTGATGAACGTCAGCGCTCTGCGATATCCACTCTGCCGTCCTCCGTAAGGCGCTCAATAGCACTTAGCTGCCAGTTTTCTTCCTCAGCCTCTTCTCTGTCACTGTCCAGACTCGGCAACCTACGAGAGGGCGCCTCGAACTAAATGACGCGTTAATTATAATTACTGGTAGCCATGGTAAATAAACAGCGCTGGAAGCGTTGCAAGTATATGAGCACGAGTCCACAGGGGCTCTGACACATCACAATTGGCATTCTTAATTGTAAGTTTCAGCCTCCCCATCATTGTCCCTCCATCTTTCCCCCCCTCTTGTTCACGCTTGTCTTTTTTCACGCCGCTCTCAGGAACGACAGTGATTACCCCTGTGCCGACGTGCTACATAATGGTATCAGCGCCGTCAACGGAGCAGTGAATTAAACTGTATCTGCAGCCGCTGCGAAGCCTTGATGAGGGGGGCAGATGCCTTTGTGGTGTTATCATTATAACACAATGGTCATGTTGTCATCAACCTTGCCATCGCCAATTGAAAAGGCACGATTGTGTGTTGGGGGCTTTTCGTCACATCCTCCCACAGCCCCCGCTCCCCGCCACCCACCCAACACTTCTGCCCCACCCCCAGCCGTTTCGTTGTGAATAGGAGCAATTTTCTAAGAGCTATGAAATCACGTAATAGGTCCTAATATGCAGCTGCTTGGCACAGTCAGGCAGCCTCTATTAACGCGTAAGTCAAACACAATATGTGTTTTGGCTGGAGAATCACTGAATACATGAGCACAGGCCAGAATTATTCAGATGAAAATCCACACAACTGTCATGGCTACAAAGACAAACTATTTGCTCCATCCTTTGACATGTGGTGCCCCATTTCAAATTCTGTCTCCACTAAAGTGGTCATAGCAACCTGTAAGGAAAATCAATTGAATGGTGCAGCGGAGCACCTGAAATGTGTTTGCAATCCCAGGAAGCGATTAAAAGCTCAGAAAAGGATGCAAGGGTGCCGCTCACGTGCCATTATCTGTATCCAGGCTCGTATTTCCGCAGCTGCGATCATTTTCAAACAACATACATTTATTACAGTGCGCCATCTTCCTGGTAAATAGGGCCGTTCGTTTAGCCTGCAGCTAACTTTTCCAAGTGTGAATGACAGAGAGTAGGGCTGCCACGAGTAGTTGACTATCAAAATCGTCGACGACTGATTTAATAGTCGA